AATTTGCATATTATCCAGCAGGATCTCTCTCTGTTGTTTCCTATTACAGCCTTCATTCTTTTCAGGTGTGAAAACAAGACTCATGCTGGGGAGATAGGAGATAAAAGTGTAATGCCTTCAAGAGCTGTTCTTTTCTCCTTTGCTCTAGTAATTTACCCGAATATTCAGAACTGTTTGATGTCACCAAATCACACGAATCAGATCCAGCAATACCAGGAAAAGGAAAACACACATACACTCATAAAAGCCCTTATTTTTCCACATAGTCTTGTTTTAAAAATTGATACAGTTATCAGTACTGACAAACTAGAATCCAGAGAAAAAATCATACACAAGGATCACTTTACCCTAGCTAGTTAAGTAGTAGTTTAGATACACAACCGTATCACTTAGAATCATTCTCATATGATCCAATGGTGATAAAAATAAATGAAATACAATAAAATCATGTAATACTGCCCTTACTATATTTATTCACTGTGTAAGCAAAAAACCCAACTTTGTATTTACTTAAAATTGTTCAAACTGACTTTATCAGCTTTCAAAGTCATTTATATAAATATACAACAGAAGCCAGCTTACCCCCAAACTTTCTGTTCATATTTGGAATGCACCACAGGCCATTAACCCCTATATTCTGGAGTTAAATTTACTCCTGCAGATCAAGGCTATTAGTGTTTCATTTCCATCTAAGGTAATTACTGCTCAGTTAAAATATAGTACAAGTTCCAAAGGGATTTGTTCTAAGTTTAGTCATTCAGAGAGTAGCAATGACTGAAACAGACTAAAGTATCTCTTAATACTAGGATAATATCAATAATAAATGATAATATAGGCCTTTAAGTCTCAAAGAACTTTATGAATGTTTAAAATGCTGATTAATCTACTTTAGACCTATCAGGTTTTCTCTTTTGATATTCCAGTTTATTACAAAGAATGAAAAACACTTCACATGATTTGCTCAATGTCACACCAACCAATATTCTCTGGGTTAACAGATTTATTTACAAATCACAGAAGCACATTTTTAAAAGAAGAGAAATTATAAAATAGCACCAATATTAAAAAAAAAAGTCTGGAAGGCATCAAATAATTAATGAAATAAAAGAGTTGATATATTTTGAGGAAAAAAATTCACATTAGCAGTTAAAAGTCATTCTGGTTGGGGAAAAGTGTCTGGAATCTGCATGTCGTATCTTTTTTTTTTTCCACTCCTTTCATTTTAGATCTAAATCCTGGAAGAGAGTGGGAAAAGAAAGGAGCAGAGAACAGTATTTAGGTATCTTTGTAGAGTGCGCAGTTTCAAAATCCAAAAGCTTCAGACTGTCGTTTCATCATGTTACTTGTTCCCTGCAGAGATGAGACATTATTATTTGGAAAACAGATTTTTGATTATCACCAAACATGAAAGAGAGCTGATACATGTACTTTCAGAATGCCCATTATATGGAAAGACCAAGCCAACTGGAAGAATTTCCCTTCTGACCATGCTCTTTCTCAGTAATGATCGAAGATTTACACCCATTACGCATAATTTGGAAAGTTGAGATATATGAAAGAGAAAAAAGAAAACTTGAAAACTACAGGGAGGACTTAGGGCTAATATTTTGAAGTATCTCCTTTCAGTCTTTGCACTCACTATATTCTACTAAAATCATAATCTTATTATATATATTTTACCCCTTGAGTTTTTGCACCAAGCATTTAACCATTACCAGTTCTGCATTTCATTAAATATATCAAAGAGATATATAATTTTTAAGTGTTATCTTCATTTTCCTGAATTTTAGAAATAATACCTGCTAATTTTGAGGGATAAGACAAATTATAAACATACAAAAAAGGAAAAAGATACATCCTTCTATGAAACCTTGATTCTACCCTTACCCCTAAAAAAAACCACTTGTAACAGTTTACTGAATCCCTTTCCTGCCTTGTTTCTGTAACACATAAGCAATGATGTATTTCTCTATTCTCTCACTATTGAAAATTTAAGAGGCTTTAGTGTTTCACTCCATCAACAGTGTGATATACACGCTCGTATGTTACTATTCAAATGTTCTCTGATAGTTTCACCAGATCGAGTCTAAAAGTGGGGTTACTTGGTGAAAAGTTGATAATTATTACATAAGCCCTTGATGCAACTGGTCAAAACTCATCTTCAAAAAGACTGCAGAGCCCAAATTCCCATCAGCGGGAGCTAAGGATGCTGACCCACCGTATCCTCATGAAGAAATGCTGCCATTTTTAACCCTAGTCCATCTTATAGATCAAAAATTTGTATGTCATTTTTATGTTTCCTTTTTTTGCTGAACATCCAAAAACTAAACTATTATATATTTAGGATGTTTTACTATATATGTTTATTATCATCTGTAGGTTTTTTTCTTTTGTCAATTGTTTGTGACATTTGTACTTCTACTGGGATAATGTGTGTTTCTTATTTGAATTATCACAATTTTATTTTTGTTGTTAGTTTTATAGCTACCAGCCATATGTATTAATTACAAAAACACTTCCCATTTCCACATTTTCCATTTAATTTGGCTGATAATATTTTATGACACAAAAAAGTACTTAATTTTCTGCAGCCAAATATGCATGTTTTTCCTTTGTGGCTTATGCTATGCCTTTTTAGGCTTAGAAGGCCCTTTACATAGAAAAAATTGGCTCAATTCACCTACATATCATTCTCTTCCTTACATTTCAGTTTTAAAATTTATTTTGCAACAATATGCAAGGTGATGCTTAAGACTCAACTTTTCTCTAAAAATCTAGTTTCCCCTTTCACACTGGTTTTTAATACTTCCAGTCCCACACACTATAAGTGAGTGTGATCTGGGGGTACTGTCCCTTCTTGGAAAAGTCTGGTGAAACACACCTGTAATTACTGAAGCTTTGAAATGCATTCTCACATCTAGTAGGAGGCCTCACAATTCCTCCTCTTCTTTTGCAAACATTTCTTAGCTATGCCTTCCTGTTCTAAGCTCTTTCCAATATTTTCCTAAGATCTGGTACCAGTCATCCTCTAAGTTCCTTTCCAAGGAGAAGAGTGGAAGATACCAAAACCCAGGGCTAGCAGGACACATTAGGGTTTCCCACACACCTTCTGGGTTTAGGCAGTGTGATACTAGAGATTCTTCCGACTCTTTCAGCTTTAGAGGGGAAAATTTTAAAGTCCTAAGTCCATATGGATGCTTTCAATTTAATACAGCCTTTTTAAAATCTTGCTCTATCTAATGTATCACTTATTACTCATTTCCGTCCTTTTCAGACCTACTGGGGCCATCCTACACCAACCTTGATGCATCAAGCTGTGCGTTTAACATTGTTTAAATTAGTGTTGCACAAAATCTGTAAGAATCCATCTCTCTCACGTGCTCTTTCCCTTTTCGACTCTTGCCCCCATGTCTTCACATTGCTCAAAATTGACAGATCCAGAGAATCTTACCAGATACTGTCATGTCTTCGAAACCCATCATCTGCTATCAAGAGAGAAAAGGAAAGGAGAAGAGAGGAGGGGAGGGAAGACAAAATGAAAAGGGGAGGAAAGAAAGAAATCATGAAGGTATAAAGCATCACTAATATTGTCCCCATATACTTATAATAAAAATGTAATAAAATAGAAAGTATTTCAAGACATGAAATTTTTCTCTCATTTTTCCTAATTAGGAACCAAAATACAGACCTTGCTTTATTTTTCAACTCAAATTAATGTCAAAACTTTTATTATTGCTATTATGACTTGCTTTTAATTAAAGGCAATTTTAGCACTAAATTCTAATATTTCAGGAGACCTTGGGTACATGGGTGCATGGACAGGTGTTTAGTCATTATCTCAGAATTTGAATACCCTAAATTTACCATGCCATTTAAGCATACTTTAAAAAAATAACCAAATTGATATCAAGAATTATTAGAGAAATGGAATTCATAGACCAAGTTTTCAAATACTCAGCAAGTTTTGATAGGTCTATAAAATTTTCACATTAATATCTGGGATCTATAAAAACACCAACACAGGAAGCTTACATGGCACTCCAATTACAAGTCCATATTCATATTATAGTCAGATAGTCGCCTCCATCGTAAGGTAAACACAGAAATTTTTGGCACAAGCTCAGAGTGGCATATATTTGTACACATATGTATATGAGTGTTTTACATTTTTAAAAGTTATTCCATCACTCCCTTTTTGAGGGGTGACAAATATAAAGTTATCCAGGAAGGGCACATTTGACAATAAAGAACGTGAAGAGATGATTGCTGGACATAAACAGAAAAAAAAAATGGTCCTTGACATTTGCCATGATTAAACACTAAATATAAATCTAAGTATCTCGTCCACCTCTTTTCACACATTATTCTGAGCTGTCATCAATAAATCATTACACTTTTCAGAGGGAAAAAAAGTCAATGCCTGAAATGCAAAATAATAATTTAAACACAATACATAAAATATTTTGTTTAATTTGTCTTGAAATGAGTTTATTTTAATACATATGGGACTCTAGGACCATTATACAACTGATAAAAATTGACATTTAACTTCATGGGAACAGCATTTTTAAACATATTTTAGCTCCCAAAACAATAACATAAATCAGTCTCAAGTGATAAAAGTCAGCTGCTTAAAACACAAAAAACAACAACCAAAAAAACCTGCCTATGAGGAAACACTGCTCACTGACATTTACAGCTTTCCTTGTGATTAGAGGTGGACACGCATGAGAGTACCAATTACAACACTTGCATAGATAAACCATCTTCTCCTCTGCATCACCAGTAACTCTGGGGAGATGGTCTGTGAAGTCAAAGCATCCCCAAAGCGATCCTCTCCCCTTTTGACTTTAAGATGAGTTAAAGTGCAAGTTTTGACTAATGCACTGAACGCTAGACACCACATTCCAAAGTGAAATACAACAGTATAAAGCAACATTTTCAAAGGAAGCATTCCAAGAAGGTTATGTAACTCATGTTAACTGTTTGCCCATCTCAAAGATAAAGTGTGCTGGAAATTTCTGAAGATGAAGGTTTTGGGAGAAAGTTGCCAGCAGGCTGTGTGGACTGACCTTTCTCCCTAGAAGATCTTTGGGGGGCTGTTTTGCTACTCATTGCAAGTGTAAGGCAAAGAGCTTCAAAGGACCCCTCCACCCCAGGGAGTTTAAAATTGTCCCCTCTGAGCTTTGGAAGGTCAAGTCTTTCCCCTGGACCAGATCTGAGCCACGCAGGAGAGAGCTAGCCTTCCCAGATCCTGTTCAAGGACCACTTGCTGGAAAGAAGGTACCAAAGCAAAAAAGCGATGAGGAGTGTCCTTCTGAGTGACATCCTAGAGGCTGTGGATGACCAAATACAAATGCACTTCTGCAAGTTAAGGGGCCTTAGGGAGCCAAAGAAGCACCTGCTAGAAAAAGAGCCAATTTTAAACACATGCCAAATGGAGAGATATGCCAGATCACCGACTGTACTTGTCAAGTAAGAACTTGACCTCCCCAACCTTTTCCCCTCTATAGAGGGGCAAGAAACTTCCATTAGCAAGATGGGGAGGGGGGAGGGGGAGCAGAGAGAGAGAGAAACCCAGCATTCCCATTTCCTACAGCCCCTTTGCCTGCTGTGCATTCAAGCTGGGGGAGCGAAGACATGTAACTTTAAAGCAAGACTGTGATTTTGATGATTACACGGACGTGAACATTATAAATCACTATTGTTAATTTTCTCAGTAGAAGCCATCAGAGAAGCATTTGATTTTCATCAAAGTGACCAGAACAGCCATGGGACTTGCTTGGGTTTTCATGTGCAAGGTGTTCAGACCATTTGAAAAGCTGTCCTCTTGCCTTTGACTTATCCTCTCTTGCCCTTGACTTTCAAACATAACCTTTTCCCGTCTTCTTGATGCTTCAGTTTAACAGTAATAGTAACAAAACCCCATATTATTCAGCACCTACCCTGTTCTAGCTGCTCTAATGTGTATTTTATATACAATTCTCATCTCATCTTCATACAAATCTGTATTATTTACCACCCCCATTTCACCTATGAGGAAACTGAGGTTTACCCACAGTTGAGGATTGGGAATTTACCCGGCCTGACTCAAGTCTGCCATCTTTCCCTGAAAGAATGAATGATATGTAAGCCTCGCAGTTCAAAGGATAAAAAATATCAGGCTTGCTTTCCTTAATAAAGCATACGTGAATCTCCCCCGTTTCATGAGAAAATGGAAACATTCCACTGAAGGAGAATTAGTAGAAAGGTAAACATCGGTTTTTTTTTTGTAATCATAAAACCTGCTGACATACATACCCACTCCCAACTCCTGGGTGATGTCATTTTGTCAACAGCCACGGAGCTTTCTCAATCCAACCATGAAATAATCACAATCACAACAAGATCTAAAATTTGTGATGTTTGAGCTTCCAAACCTGCATTTTCGTATTTTAACCTAATTGTCTTTGCACACCAACCCCATGAGTATGTATCAGGAATACTGTTTTTGATGAGGAAATTAAAATGAAAGCTTTTAAAAGTTGTGATTTATTCAACATTAAACATGAGTAAATGACAGAGCCAGGCTAAAAGGAGCACATATCAAAGGGAATTGAGGGGGGAAGGTATAGCTCAGTGGCAGAGCGTGTGCTTAGCATGCATGAGGTCCTGGGTTCAATCCCCAGCACCTCCATTAAAAATTAAATAAATAAAAGCCTAATTACCTCCTCTCCCCCCAAAGTAAATAAATAAAAGCCTATTTATCTCCTCTCCTCTGAAAATTTTTTTAAAAGGGAAATTGGCATATCAACCTATTTTTGTAGCACCTTTGAATCCCTTCTTTACCATCAATATTTATATTAATCATTCTTGATTGGAATGCTTATACTTTGCATTTTTCAGGAATCAAAAGGCTTCACAAATCCTCTTACACATACTCTATCCCTCACTTTGTGCCGATGAGCTAATTCATGGCAAGTAATAATGCATATGGTTTTCAGATGTAGACACTAGGGCCCCCACAAGTTAATGAGCTGGCCAACTCAGTGGAATCCAAGAATCTTATAGGATTTTACAAAACTGAGCTGCATTTGTGTCCTAATATGGAAAGGCATTCCTTTTCTCAGTGGAGAGATTATTCTAGAACTTCAGAACCATGCCAATATATTTCACAGTAACCTAGCTGTCTGAATCGCTCTTCTCTGAGAAAACAAAGCCTCGAGCAAGGAATTAGTCCTGCTAACTAAATTCCATGCTTTACTTTTTTCCCCCTTTTTTGAATTGCAGAAGTTAAAGCACACTTTTCTATCCCTTCTTCAGCTCCTCATAAGCTGAGACTCGTAAACATCCTCACGTTCCAACCACTGTATTTTTCACACTCTTCATGGCCACAAATAGGAACAATTCACTGGCACAGTGGTTGTCAGACTTCAGTGTTCCTCAGAATCATCTAGATGCCTTGTTGAAACACAGATCGTGGGGTGCAGCCCCCACCATTTCTGATTCAGTCAGGTCTGGAGTGGGGACTGGTGCTTGGCACTTCTAACAGATTTCCAGGTGATGCTAATGTGCTGCTGATCTGGGGATCACACTTTGTGGGAACCCCTGGCCAAGTATTTCTCCCAAACGTTCCCTTAAAGGGTCCCCACGGAAAAGTGTTAGGCTGCTAAGCCTTCTAGTGGAGGAAAAAGAAACAGCTGTCATGACTCACTGCCTTTTTCAAGCTTTTCCAGCCACAAAATTAAAAACAGAAAAAGACTAAATTGAAAGCAAAATGAAAATAGCTCAAGTCCCACTGTCCAAATTTTGAGACGCACGGCATGGTTTCTGGAGTTAGGACAAAAGACACAAAAATGATTCAGGTGAGCCTTAGGCTGACCACACTGAAGGCTGGCATTACGAGGCTCCCAGAAAAATCTGGGGACCACGCCAGGCTGCTCCTGTTCTAACCCAGCGTCATCTCGGACACTTGCCTCCCAGCTTTCTTC